TCTCTCTCTCTCTCTCTCTCTCTCTCTCTCACACACACACACACACACACACACACACACACACACACACACACACACACAACCCCCTGATCAGTCGGAAACAGTCTGCCACAGTCATGTTTGTTTTGAGTGTATAGCGAATGTGACGACACACACAAAAAAAAGCCCAAGCAGTGTGACAACCACAGCCCTGCCCCCCTGTTCGTCCCTCTCCTCGGCCGCAGCGTGGCTGCGGTGGGTCCACTTGTATATATTAATAATATTATATAATATATTGTACCAGCCAGTTATTTTTGACCATATGTATTATATCTGTTTGACGATTTATAATATATATGTATTGTAGCAACAAATTTGTCAAAACGGACATATTTTATTTTTTGAACGAAATTTAAACCTCTGACCTCATAAATTCGCCCGATTTAGGTCGATATTTTAAGCTCCTGAGGGTACGGCGTTATGAAAACACGATACTCCCTGGATGCCAGCTAAGTCCAGATACATCCAGGAGGTATGGCGTTTTAAGGACGCTGGACCCTAGAGAGCTTAAAATTTCCACCTAAATCGGGCCAGTTTATGACGTTTCAATTCTGTTCAGAAAATAAAAAATGTCCCTTTTGACGAAATTGCTGTTTAATGTATATTATATATATGTATGTATAATATTGTATATACATACGTATATATGCATATAAGCAGATTATCAGCATATGCATAGATATAGATAGAGATATAGATGCATAGATAGATATATATAATTTTGATCTATGGTCCAACATAGCATGGAGAATGGAGCCAAGTTGGACCTCCACCCCTGCTGCTATGATAGGAGCAACCAGATCAGCACAGGGAGGAGAAGGATAACTCCTGTAAGTGTTCTGAAGCGACTCCACTGCTTGGGAAGTTTCAGAAACTTGTAAGGACTGTAGCTCTCTTTCAGCTTACAAGTGGAGCAGAAAAGAAACGGCGAAAGAAAACGAAAAAAAAAAAAGAAACAAGAGCCAAAGATTTCAGCTGTCACTCTTATTCGTGAAATCTCTGGCAGCAATTGAGGATAGATTGAGTGGTTTGTCTGAATGCTTCCTTTCAGCGAACAAACAAACATCATCGTGTTTCTGACTTTCGATATAATGATATTCAGGTACTCAGCAAATGAGCAGTGATTCTGCAATTGTCTGAACGTTTCGTTGAGTCTGCGGCGAGCACCGACGGTATGTGGCGACGCGTTATTCTGTTTTGATATTCAAATCGGCGAGTGGACGGCCACTGCGGAGACACGTGCAAACAATGCATGTGAGAGCAGACTCGCACGCGGACTTTTTAGACCGACCTAATTCCGGTCAGATTCATCCAGGTCAGGCAGCAATTCCAGTCAGATACATTCAGGAAAGTCCCAGTGTGAGTATGCCCTGAGAGAGGCCACTGCGGTCTGTGGAGACACGTGCAAACAATGCATGTGAGAGCAGACTCACAGTCGGGACTTTTTAGACCGACCTAATTCCGGTCAGATTCATCCAGGTCAGGCAGCAATTCCAGTCAGATACATTCAGGAAAGTCCCACTGTGAGTATGCCCTGAGAGAGGCCCCACTGGAAGTTGCTGCTGTAGCATGTACTAAAGTTCGGTGATAGCTCGCTTGGCGGTGCGGACTTGGATACATGTTCACAATTCTACGGCATTGCATGGCTGTACATTTATCTGATTTGTCAGAAGCACAGAATCGCGAAAACAGAATCGCGAAAACAGAATCGCGAAAACAGAATGATCGCTCTTCCACAAGAATAGAAATCATTGCCACAACAGCAATGTCCTCCCAACTGCCGGAACACTGTGGGCCTACGGTCTTCCCCCCGAACATAACGCACCCTGATTCTGAATGTATGCAAGCCATCTTTCCGGTTGTTATGATGAGGGTGCGTTGGTGAGCTCAGGGGAAGACAGTAGTTGCCACCGTGCCTCCGACTCGCCACTCTTTTCACTTTTTTCACTCGCCACACAACTGCCACCGATTTTAGCGGATAGCGAGTAGTGCAAATAGGCCGGGTACTATGGCCCAACAGAGGGTCACAAGCACAGACCAAGCCCTCCAAACATGATTTCTGGATTAGTGCATGCTCACACCTGGATTATCTTCTGGGTCGTAATAATCTCACCATAACTACGGCCATACTGTGTCAACGAAATTACAACTGTGAGTATGGCCTTAGAGTCCTAGACAGAATTTGGGCGCTTGCAATTGGAGCCATTCGATGGAGACCACCTCTGCACGCCTCCGAAGATGGAGGTCACCCGTGACCGTCTTGAAAAATCATGGTGAAAAAGTGTAACCGCCACTGAATTAAAGAAAAGGCATCGATAGCATAGCTGTACCTGGTCTAAAAACTTCTCTAAAGGCGACTATAATGGCCATCATATTGTTTACTATCAGTATACGCTGGCAGGTTGCTGGGTGGGGAGGAGTGGGGGCAAGGGGGGCGGAGGGGGGAGGAGGGGGGAGGAGGTGGGGGAAGGGAGGGAAACAATAATTTAACATGATAAAAGAACTTAGCAGCGGCAATGGCAGCAAACCTCTGCAGTTTGCTGTCTGGACCAGCTACTGGTTGTGGACTCTGGGACCTGGTTCTGTTCTGGATCCTTCTTTGTTTTTTGTTTTGTTTTGTGTTTNCACATGCATAAAAGACGATCATATGGCGGTGTATTATTCCACGTTCTAGCAGAAGATTGATTCTTTGTTTATTTTTTCTTCTTCTAAAGCCCAGGGTGTTGTAGAGGCCAAGGACCAGACCCCTGGTGATTGCTTGTAGTCCACAGCCTGGAGCTGGGTCCGGAAAACAGACTGCAGAGGTTTTGCTGCCTTCACTGCTGCGATGGTTTGTTATGTATCTATAACTTAACTTCTTAAACCACCAGTACTTGGCCCCGCTATGGGCCACCGGGAAAAAATAGTGTAGAAACGTTTCTAGTCGGATGAAGTTGGGCGCTCCTGTAGTGTACGTTTCCTAAAATGGTGGCTTGTTAACCAGCACAACTTTAGGGCGTACTGGTGGTTTAAAGGATGGGGCAGGTCTTATGTGTAATGTTGTTCCGCCGTTGCGCGAGACTCCAAACTTGGGCAGTCATTTTGTTCAGTGGTTTCCTTGTCGCGCCAAGTAAGTGACAAAAAAACTACTGACCAAAATGACTGCCCAAGTTCGGAGTCTCCCGCAACGGCCGGACAACATTACACATAAGACCTGCCCCATCCTTTAAACCACCAGTACACCTTAAAGTCGTGCCCATTAACAATCCACGATTAAGGGACGCTGGACCCATTTTCCAGCAGGTGATGCTCCCCACCCATAGATGGAGCCTTTCCCCGGGTGCTAGTGGTGTCTGCTATCACCAGCGCCACTAGCACTGCAGGGGGTTGTTTAAAAAATAATAATAATAATAAAAAAAAAAAATCCGCAATTGGGGTAACTTCTGTAGAGTTACGAATTCAAAGCGAGTTATAATTGCATTATGGGGCAAGATACAGTTTGCAATTGCACTTCGGGCACCCTACCTGGGCAGAAAGCTGGGTTGTATACATTGCCGGACTGCAATTGGAAACTGTATCTTCGCCCATAGTGCAATTATACTCATTTTTGTGACTCCCGCGTAGTTTCCCCCTCTTTCTTTCCTTTTTTTCTTTTTGTTGTGATGCTCCCTTTGCATATCCTCTTATACCCGTGAATTCCGTCTGCACCACTCAGAATAACAGCTCAGGCGGACGTGAGTCCTCGTCACTTGAAAAGATCTGAAAAGGCACTGCCAGGTTCTCTAGAATAAAGAACAACACTAGATGTCATATCTTGTCGTCCTCGTCAAAAGCACCGGCATGTCTGCATCCTCGTTCACAAGCTTGACCACTACAAGTGCAAGGAGGTCTTGCACATTTATCTTAGTAGGTGGCGAAGCCTGTGAATCGCCTTTTCGAAGAGGTAGTTTTGCGTATAGTTGTTATCTGCAATAATTGTGTTCACCACTGATTTCATGACAGTGGCAAGGGCACACCTCTGGGAGAGAAGCCTGAGCGGGGTGGATACTGATTGATTGATTGGTTGATCGATGGATCGATGGATAGATGGATTGATTGATTGATTGATTTAACGGATGGATGGATTGAGTGATTGATTAATTGATTGATTGATTGATTGATTGATTGATTGATTGATTAAGTGAATGATTGATTGATTGATTGATTGATTGATTGATTGATTGATTGATTGATTGATTGATGTTGGGATGTTGTGCAGGTATGGTTGTCTGGACAGTGTTCCTTGATTGAGTGATTGTCATGATTGTTTGATGTTGTCATGATGGGCAGGTACGGTGGTTGTGTGGACAGTACTGGTCACCATTGGTGCGCTGGCCAGCAGACATTCGTCTTCATCTCTCCAGTCTGCAGGTCATTGGGAAGTTGATGTACAGATGCAGTCTTCGGAGAAGAAAGAAGGCACAGCGGATGCAGCCTCCTGCTTTGCTCCACCCAGCTCCAGATACTGTTTCTCCTGATAACCCTTACGGAAATGTACGCACAGCGGCGAGACCCCAACCGGTCAATGGAGGAGTGGCAATAGGTCTTCCCATTGGAATCTGCATCGCAGCATCGATCATAATTGCATGGAAAGGCATCCATCTCTTTCAATCGCGATGATAGCCATGATAGCCATTCATCTCAGCCAGTCTCTATGAAAGGCCTCCATCCATCTAAAGTGGAAATTCAATCCTAAAGGGAGCATCTTTTACTGCTGGAGCAGGTCCGCAGTCGGCACAGTAACTTCTGTATGTACTTCAACCAGACCAGAGTAAATAGAGTACCTTCATTTAACTAGTAACGTAAAGGCATTAAATCCATCCAGTGTGCAATCCTCAAGGGAGCATCTTTTACTGCCGGAGCAGGTCCGCAGTCGGCACAGTAACTTCTGTACGTACGTCAAGTTGTCAACCAGACCACAGTAAATAGAGTACCTTCTGCAGTTAACTATGGCATCCATCCAATGTGCAAGGGAGCATCTTTTACTGCCAGGGCAGTCCGTACGACATACGTCAACCAGACCACAGTGAATAGAGTACCTGCAGTTAACTGTGGCATCCATCCAATGTGCAAAGGGAGCATCTTTTACTGCCGGAGCAAGTCCGTACGTCAACCAGACCACAATAAATAGAGTGCCTTTTGCAGTTAACTGTGGCATCCATCCAATGTGCAAGGGAGCATTTTTTACTGCCGGAGCAAGTCCATATGACGTACGTCAACCAGACCACAGTGAATAGAGTATATGCAGTTAACTGTGGCATCCATCCAATGTGCAAAGGGAGCATCTTTTACTTCCGGAGCAAGTCCGTACGTCAACCAGACCACAGTACATAGAGTACCTTCTGCAGTAAAACTGTGGCATCCATCCAATGTGCAAGGGAGCATTTTTAACTTCCGGAGCAAGTCCGTACGACGTACGTCAACCAGACCACAGTGAATAGAGTACCTGCAGTTAACTATGGCATGCATCCAATGTGCAAAGGGAGCATCTTTTACTGCCGGAGCAAGTCCGTACGTCAACCAGACCACAGTAAATAGAGTACCTTCTGCAGTTAACTATGGCATCCGTCCAATGTGCAAGGGAGCGTCTTTTACTGCCGGAGCAAGTCCGCAGTCGGCACAGTAACTAGTCTATGTACTTCAACCAGACCAGAGTAAATAGAGTACCTGTTGTTAACTAAGGCATTAAATCCATCCACTGTGCATTCCTCAAGGGAGCATCTTTTATCGTCGGAGCAAGTCCGTACGGCAACCAGACCACAGTAAATAGAGTACCTGGAGTTAAGTATGGCATACATCCAATGTGCAAGGGAGCATCTTTTACTGCTGGAGCGAGTCTGTACGTCAACCAGACCACCGTACATAGAGTACCTGCAGTTAAGTGTGGCATCCATCCAATGTGCAAAGGGAGCATCTTTTACTCCCAGAGCAAGTCCGGATTCGCCACAGTAACGAGTCCAGAGTCGCCACAGTAACTAGCCTATGTACTTCAACCAGACCAGGGTCAATAGAGTACCCGCAGTTAACTAACTTAAAGGCATTAAATCCATCCAATGTGCAATGCTCAAGGGAGCATCTTTCACTGCCGGAGCAGTTCCGCAGTCGTCACAGTAACCACTGACACAGTCTGACAGTGTAATACTATGTACTTTAACCAGACCAGACCCACCAGAGTAAATAGAGTACCTGCAGTTAAGTTGAGTTAACTATGGCATCCAGACTGATGGCTGGATTCACTACCCATTTTTAATTAATCTTATCCGCAGTAACAACAGCAGTGACTGAAACTACAGTAAGTAATGTGTAACTGAAGGCACCCTACCATCTTCAGCCGAATAGAATGCCCGGTCATTATAGCTGTATCACTTCCAACTTTCAGTCTACATACCACAGAATGACCGTGTGTTCTAGTCGGGTGAAGAACGTACGGTAACCGTCTTCATCTGAAACGATGCCGGGTCATTTAAGCTGTATCCAGGGCAACATTCAGTCTAGATACAGCGGCAATAACCGTACGTTATATTCAGGTGAGGACAGTACAGTAACTATCCTCAAGTAGTTAGAATTACAGCGAGTACAGTGAGGACATCAACTATCGTCTTCACCCGAATAGAACGCCTGTTCATTATAGCAGCTGTATTTGGGCCAACTTCCAGTACAGGTGCTCCAATAATGAGTCGGCCTTCTATTCAGGTGAAGAGCGTAGGCTACTTGTATAACCACTGTAATCACAGTAATTACTTCCTGGACGAGTGCAGGAAGCAACCGTAGCCACAGAAATTATGATTAATATACTTTCGACACAAGAAGTAACATTAGCATTTACTATTTAGTTTATTTTAGTAACATTTTGTCCACTGCAGCCATAGCTCTGAAGATAATGCCTATACCACAGTAGTACAACTAGTAACTACTATACCTGCTACTAATACCACTTCTGCCACTCTGTTTTCCATCTCTTTTTTTGTTGGCTTTTTTTTGCTATTTTCCAATGGCATCTGATTTTGATCTCTTCATCCAATTTTGCCAGTATCTTAATCT